TTTTTTTTTGTTTCTTATGTTTGAAAATTCTCTTTGTTTTATATTTTGTGATAGGGCACTGAGTTTAGAAGTCGATGTGCCCCTCCTTCTTACTTTAAGGATGTGATGGACTGAATTCTTGTTGTGTTGTCTGATCAACACAAGTAGACTCTTCAACAGATCTTTTTTTTTTTAATATGCTTGATATAGCCATTTCACATAGTAATTTTGAGGCTATAATAAGCACATATAGGGCAGACATTAATGCCTTTGTTGTTGATGATGGTTTGTTTTTAAATTTCGATCTGGCCGAGTTTTGTGACACAATTGGGCTACAACATGGTTGTCCTTTGTTGTTGGTGATGGTTAGGTTCTTTTGTTTTTTGTTTTTTTTTAAACATTTCTTTTATCCTTAAAAAAAGAGGCTCGAAACCGCCAGAATCAGGCATGAACCGGCGGTTCAATTAATCGACGATTTGGGTCAGTTTATTGAATCGGTCGGTACATATAGTCGAGTCGGTTCTGGGCCCGTGTTTTGTAGCCTGGTGACCCCCCGGGCAAGGACCTGGCCCGCCATTTTCGTAACGTCTTTACTGGTGGGGCTAAACCCGAAAATGAGAGGTTTTGAGGTGGATTAGGTTTGCAAAACCTGTGGGGAGGGCTCTATAGCGTAGAACACCTTTTTTTTATTGTAGAAGGGTTAAGAGGGTATGAAGATCTCTCATGTCAAGTGGGATGATTCAAACTTGGATGCTACTTTTTTTAAAGGTTGGTGGTGGTGGATCTATTCCATGGATTGTCCTAAAGCTTCAGAGGCACGGATTCAACTCTCGATCATTTATTTTATAGTGGCTCTGCAAAGCCCGAAAGCTTGGGTATTTCAGAATGTCTGGATATCTGATAAAGCGATTGCTTAGGCTGCCTTGCGAGATTGGTTGGAATTTCCTAGTTTGCCGAGGTAGATGTCTCATGGAGAAAGTGGTAGACTAGGTTCCCCACTTCAGTGGTCTACTAGCTTTTTTTTATTATTATTTTGTTGTTATTGTTATTTATGTTAGGCTTTGGAGTTGTTGTACTGAAGTTGCCAAATTTGTTGTATTTGCCTTTGGTATCGAACTATCGATAGTCTTTGTTTGCATTTTAGGTCACCTCTGAGTGGTTCTCTAGTTCTTTTGCTTGTATGGACTAGTTGGGCCTCCGATTGTATGGCCTTTGGTTTATTTATGAGTTACCTCTATCGTTAAAAAAAAATAAAATAGATTTAATTCGCCACTCAAGATCCACTTATTGGGAGAATATTCCAATACAAAAGTTAAGAGTTAAAGTACACATAAATAACTTTGAAAATCATATGACATATATGTGCCAAACTTTTTCAATTACCAACATTAAACTTTTTTACAATATTAAATACCAAAATTACGCTCCTAATCACTTATGAAAAGGAATTTAACAATATTTACATCTTAGAGCATCTACAATGCATTGAGTCTAGTCTTGTCTATGTGGCATGTAAATAAACCCAAATCTCTGATGACATGGTTAAAATTATGTAAAATTGCTAAAATCCACTCCTATGCAAAGAGACTAGGTCTCTACTTTGGTCTAAAATTTACCTAAGAGTAGACCGGGTCTCTTTTTCGGGCTGCCACATCAGCAGAACCCAGTCTACTTTTGTTTGCATTGGAGAATAAATTTTTTTAGACTAGGTCTATTTCTTAGGTGACATACAATTTTTTGTAACTGAACCTAAAGCATTGTAAATGCTCTTATCAATCATATTTTTATATCCATATGTTACCAAAAGGGAATAAAATAAAAAAAAAAAAAGTTAATTTGGGTAATTAATACATCTAATTAAATTATCTCAATTTGATCACATCTTATTACCGAAATAAGATTAACATATTTTTATACTTATTTTCTAGTTAAAGGGCTATTACATACTATTATATGGTATAACTGAATTTAAAAAAAATAAAAAGCAAAGAAAATATATGAAAATAAAATGCTTAGAGCATCTCCAATGGACTGTTACTTGTGTGATTGGGGAAGTTGTCCGCTAAAAAACTTCTCCAGCAGTAATTTTTGTACTTCTATTGGTGATGAGATGGCATGAAAGACAAAATCATTCTAGAAGTCTTTCTACATGTGAAAGCACTTCTAGAATTGATGACTAATTTTTTTCTCTTTATTTATTTGTTTTATCTATAATTAAAATATATAATTAGGTTAAGATAAAGGCTTAAACTGCCAAACACACGGAATGTATATCTTAAAAAAATACATGTATATCTTGGAAAAAAAAACCTAATAAAAAATACCGAACAAATGTATATCTTAAAAAAAAAATACCTGGCAAAAAAATACCAGATGAATACAAAAAAAAAAAAGAAATAAAAGATAATACAAAAAAATACTAGATAAATATCAGTCCAAAAAAATAAATATAATTGATATAAAAAACTTGATAGGTTGTGGGTGGTACCTCAAAAAATAAATATTGGATTACAAGAATAATTTACAAAAAAAAGCCACTTGATTACAAGAATAATTTACCAAAAAAACCATTTATCGTATATTACAAAAATAATTTATAGAGCCTAGGTTTTTTTGCTGCTTCTATTTTAAACAAAAAAAAAAAAAAAAA